TTTATTCCTACAGACTTTTAATGGCCTACAAGTATGTTTTAATAAAGATGACAAAATTATATGATTGGAACTGTTTTTAAAGTAAGGGTCTGTAAATGAAAAGAAAGAGTTAGTCACTCTTCCAGGGTCTGTCTGTGGATTTCTGCCTCCAGTGGATTCTAAAGAAGAGGATCTCTGATGCCTCATAATTATTTAATCATAGAGAAATACCTGACTGTAACAGGTGGGATCTACTTTATAGCTGACATCTTTAATGATTGATGCATTTGTCCATCTGTTAGGAACATTAGTCAAAAATTTAATAGCTGACATATTTATTAAAAGTAGAATTACAGCAGATCAGATACTGAGCACATAATGTATGTATTTTTATATAGGATCCATGGTGAAGATGCTTATGAAATACTATGGGTATATTTTACAAATTCAAAAGAGTTTTATTTAAAACATTTAGTTTTAGACAAAAAAATTCTAACATGCTAATAATTTTTATTACATAGGCATATTAATGAATTTCTATCTTCGAAAGTTTAACATTTGAGGCCCCACTAAAGCTTTTAATGCAAGCATCATGCTGAAGCCTTCTCATTCTAATACTGGCAGAAAGAGAGACAGCTGCCTCTTTCACGGGGCTTATTATGGGGGAGGCTCACTTTATATGACTTCACATTGAGATAAGTGCTATTCAGTAATGCTTAGGGTGCTATTATTGAGGAGTAATTAGTGGGGCTCTTTTTAGAGAAGTTCAATAAGAGGCAGCAGAAGAGGAAGTGGGGGAGAGAGGGCGTACTTGTATTCTAGGCTTCTTGAAGGAAGGAACAGGCTTGAACATTCCAACACAGTATAGAGTTTGGTGTGTTATAGAATGGAGAGGCCACTAAACATAGGGGAGAGAAATAAAAGATAAGATTGAAGAGGAAAAGCAGCACCAATTAGGTACCACTTTGTAGACCATGGAGAAAAATTTGGCTAGTTAATGTAAATATGGGTCTTTTAAACAATTATTCATACTTAATGGATTATATGTATAAATCCATTTTTTGCTTCTAGATTGTTTCTACTTAATATACTATAGATATCACAGAGATTAGAAAACTATATTTAATACTTGAGTTGCTTTTCTTCATTGTACAGAGACAAGAGATCCACAGTGGGCACTGAAATGCTACTTTTGAGCAAATTATTACTTTTTATAAAGTTTGTAAGGACTTAGGTAAACAAAATTTGAATTCTGGGGAAGTGGAGAAGGTCTCGCTTCCCCCTCTTTAATTGTAGGAAAGATTGTGTATTTTTTAAAAAAATGAGAATGGAAATGACAATCTCAATATAATTGAATGCATGCTAGAAATAATTAGACAATTGAAAAAGCTAAGTAGGGATAAATAAATTAAGGGATTAAGAATTAGAAAGCTTGGCAAAAGTATCAACACTCTATTTTTTTGGATACTTCTGTATTCTGTATTACTAGATTTTTAAAAAAAATCAATGTTGCTTTATGTAATAGAAATCATTGGAATCAAAATTATCTTTTACAAGGTCCAATTTTTAGCCAGATGGTAGTAAATATATGAAAGACAGAAATTTTTATTTTGTTTATTTTTATAATATTGTTTATTTGGTTTGTTTTTAAAGTAAGTAATTGAAACTCCTGCTATGCTAAAACCACAAATAAGTATGTATTACTCATATAATGTAACTGAGTAAAACATAGTTTGGTCCCACAAGTGAGTGCAATTAAACACAGAGAAGAAATCAGGCCATATTCCATGAAAAACCAATAAATATTTCACAATATGTCAATAGGGTACTACAATATCCTTAATTAGAAATAAATTTCTACCTAAATTATATGTCCTTGGCACTAGTATTTGATTAATGCCTGATTTAGGAGGTTCCAATCTTTATTTAATACCACAATGTCTACTGCTGAACTATAGTAATACTTAGTAGCAGTGAGAAATGACAGGGGCCAAAGAGGTGAAATCCTGAAGACTACGAATCTACAGAGAATATTTGACACACTTTGTACATGTCTTTAAGTAGTTGCTCACAATTAGAGTTCACTCAAATTAATAATATGTTTTCATTGGTTAATCTTAGATCATACTATATATCCAAAGGTGTATTTTGAGGGAGCAGATCTTTATTGTGATTATTATATGTTTCAACTCTTAAGAAAAATCCTGGTGTATGATTTCTGAACTGAAAAGATAAGGATATTCTTTTTTATTTGTTTATTTAATAGCTATTATTTTTAACAAAAATGGGGTCTCACCATGCTGTCCAGGCTGGTCTCGAACTCCTGGGCTCAGGCAGTCTTCCCACCTCAGCCTCCCAAAGTGCTGGCATTATAGATGCGAGCCACCATGCCCAGCCCTGAAAAGCTAAGGCTGTTTAGAGACTTTCAAGTATTCCCTGAAAAGCTAAGGCTGTTTAGAGACTTTCAAGTATTACTATTCTTAAAGTTGAACTAGATTAATTTTAAGACAGGCATCTAATATTTGACATGACTTACTAGCATTTAGTCAGTCTGAGGCTAATTTCATAGACATCCCTGCCTTTGTGGAGGGAAAATTGTGGATTTGGGATGTTAATGATATACTACATTTATATTTATATATATATATATATATATATATATATATGTTTATATATAATATATTACTACATATAATAATATATATAATTTGTATACATAATTCAATATCTACTTTGTGCAAACCATATGAATATTATATCTTTTTAAAGACCTATATCTGATTCATTCATTCATTTAACACATATTTAGTAAACTTACAGTAGTCCCTCCTTATCCATAGTTTATCTTCTCATAGTCTCAGTTACCCATTGTCAACAGGAGTTTGAAAATGTTACAGTAGTTTGAGAGAAAGAGAAATACTAAATTTACACAACTTTTGTTAGAGAATGTTATAATTATTCTATTATTGATGTATCTATAATTATATCGTTATTATCTATGATTGTTGTTAATCTCTTACTGTGCCTAATTTATAAATTACACTTTATCATAGGTATGTATGTATGTATAAGTTTTGGTACTATCCATGGTTTCAGGCATCCACTGGCAGTCTGGACATATCCCCCACAGATAAGGGGGAACTACTGTGTACTATGTGCTTGGGATGTATCAATGAGCAAAACAGTTTCATGACATCCTGGAGGTAGTATTTCAACCTTACAAATGAGGCTAAGATGTTTATTGCAGCATTAGTCACAATAGCCAAGATTTGGAAGCAACTTAAGTGTCCATCAACAGATGAATGGATAAAGGAAATGGTGGACACATACACAATGGAGTACTATTCAGTCATAAAAAGAATGAGATCCAGTCATTTACAACAACATGGATGGAACTGGAGGTTATTATGCTAAGTGAAATAAGGCAAGCACAGAAAGACAAACTTTGTATGTTCTCACTTTATTTGTGCGAGCTAAAAATTAAAACTATTGAACTTGCGGAGTTAGAGAGTAGAATGATGGCTGCCGGAGACAGGGAAGGGTAGTAGGGAGAGTGGGGAGGGAGTGGGGATGGCTAATGGGCACAAAAACATAAGATGAATGAGTAAAATCTAACATTTCATAGCACAACAAAGAGACTATACTTACTAGTAATTTAATTGTACATTTTAAAATAACTGAGAGTGGATTGTTTGTAACATAAAGGATCCGTGTTTGAGTTGATAGCTACCCATTTACCCTGATGTGATTATTATGAATTGTATGCCTGTATCTAAATATGTAATGCACCCCATAAATATAATATCTGCATGTACTATTTAGCCCTAAAAATTAGTTTTTTTAAAAAAAGGATTATAGAAAATAGAAAAAAATTAGGAATATATAATTTGGGTTTACCAATATTTCTATGAAGTATGAAATGATTTAACATTGCTGATACTAAGTTTCTTACAAATTACCATATCCACTATAGATTGTATACAAATACTTGTAAAAAAGTTGAAGGTGAGGTCCGCAAATATTTAAATTATCTTTTTATTTCCGGAATGTACTATAGGTCATTTATGTTTTCTTATATTTTAATTCTTCAAGTTACCAGACATTTTGCAAACACTTACATGGCAATCTACACTTTTAAAAGCTTGGAATACTTTTCTTTTCTGATTATTCTATCTTCTATTGTAGGTATTAAAATTTGAATTTCAGACATACGTTACACAAATATATACAAAGTTTAGGCCATACCAGGAAGTGGACAGCTTAAAGGGTATTACATGTTTGAGAAATAGGCTTATGTTTTGTTTTGTTTTATTTTTGGTTTGGATTTTTAATTTCCTGTTTCTTATTTGTACTTTATTAAAATGGATTTATTTATTCGATGTCTCCAAGATTTGATTACCTTTACTTTTTCAAACAACTGTGTGTTTGCTCATTAGTAAAAGTTGAGTGATATACAGTGTTTACATTTTAATATTTAATTGTTGGATGAATCTCACTTCAAGGGGTAAAGGCTATAGTTCATTGATAGTGATGAAATACCCTAGATGGCTTTCATATAAATAGCAACGAATGTGCACAATAGTTACATTACATGGTATATTTAACAACACTGCTAAAGAGTAAGATGGGAGTTCAGTCTTTCCTGATGGAGATACACCTGAGTGCACTCAGAGAAAATCTGGTTCTGCAAGCTTGAAGGAAGTAATTGTTATTCAACAGAAATCAACTAACTTTGCATATCAGTAAAATACACACACATACTCTTAGCTATTTTCTGAGTGCTCTGGAACTGATATCAAAATAGCAAATATATATTTATGAGAAGTAGAAATGCTGTACTCTTTTCAGTCACATAAACTCAATGTAATTATGAAATTAACTTTGAGATGTGGAAAATGTTACTTCCTAACCAAGTAAAGATCTAATAAAAACTACAAATTTTATATCGTTACATCATTTTACATGCACATTTGTACCCCAAATGCCATGTCATTAATTATTTTTTTATTGTTCATTTCTAGATGGAAGACTGTATTTGAAAACTACTGTCATGTACTGAATATTTCCTGTTGAAGAAATCCATGTTAGAGAAAAGAACTTTGCAGTCAGACATTCATCATGAGAAAGTTCAGAAAAAATAAAGTCCGTTTAAGGGAACTTCCCGAATTTTATGTATTAATGTTCTTTAAAAGTTTAAGTATTCTACAAAAAAAAAAGTTTCCTCCATTGATTTTCACCTGTGGTTCATACCAGAGACCTGAGAATGTTTGTAAATGTACAAGTATCAAACTTCTTACAGTTAATAACTGCAACTTGCTGCTGGACAATTGTATACAGAGTTAAAGGAAGGTCTGAATAAGACCTAGCTTTGTTTTTTTCTAATGGAATGAACCATTTCCTCTTCTGAAAATTCTGTATCTGAGCACATCAAGAGACTCTTGTAGCAGTGGTTACCCAAACTTACAGAATTATGTCCCCCAGAAACCAGCAAGAACACTTGGAATGAACTTGTAGGGGGCATAGAGGATTCTTGAAAAAAGAATAAAGAGTGATATTCTGTTACATTCAATTTCAAACTCTCTAATTGTGGGTTTTCTCCTGAAGATTTTTTTTTTTACATACTTTCCAAAAGACCAACAAATGGATGTTAAGAGCAACCCAATGAAATAACGTTTTGCATATCTGAAAAGAAGCATTGAATATAAGCCAAAAGGTTTAACTGAAGTTCTTTTTTTCTTAAAGTAAAAAACATATAAAATGTAACATGTTTTCATTCCAAACTGGTAGTGGTATATAGAATTAAAGATATTAATGTTGCTTCTTATTCAAACCGTTGGTCATATGTACAGTATATAAACATAAAACACACAAGGAAGGTATTATGTATGCAGTAGTATACTAGAGTTTAGGAAAATGAAAATTTTAGAACATATGTTTTGTCACCCTGTTGGTCAGAAAGACGTCTTTCTGGTTTTAACGCATGCAGGCATGTAAATATTTGTCTGGAGTCACAGTATTAATGAATGAGATCTTAAGCATCTGGTGACATCAAAACTCTGTCAGCCACTTTTATTTGTATATTGAACCCTAGTTAGTGCTCCAAGCTGCACTATTGGGTGGATCGTGGCTGAACGCAAATCAAAACACCAGAAATATTTTTATATGTTAATGTCATATTATGTTAATGTTGCTGAAAACAAAACCTAACAAACCTTGATGTACCAGTCCAATACCATGTAGCGCTGAGTGATAAAGTTAAAATGTGCTGTGCTTCCCACCCTGGTCAGAGGGAAGGGTGGCTATGTGTTATTTTCACTGTCTTTTTGAAAGTTACAGTATGTGTTTTCACTTTTGTGCAGATAACTGGAAGTAAAGCAGCAAACAGTGCTTATCACATGCTAAAGTTACCTTCCCTTTATTTTTTGCATATCTGGAATTACACCTTTAAAGACTGATATGAATCAGTGTAGTCACTGTACATTTTATGATTTTTCTGTCAACTTAAAATTGTATGATCATAACATTATTTATTACCATAAAACAGCAAAATCTTCAATGTCTAAGAAAACTAGCTTAAAATATTTAAATATAGTTCTGATTGGGTATTAATTACTTGATTAAGAAAAAATTAACATTATAGATACTCTGGCATTACGCTTCTATACCTTTTAGGTCTTCCTTGCAATACTGGAACGTAATTCTTTTGTGTAGCTCACTATTAACCCGCTAAGTTCATTTTTTTAATACCATAAAAAGGTTATATGTACAGTTCCTATTTTTAGCTTACTTGCAAAGGGAGCATTGTTTTTATTTAAAGTATTGTTACTAAATGCTTTGTAGAAACTTGATTTTCTAAGCATAGTTCTTCCATAACCATCTTTTGTTGTTTGAACACAAGAGATTCTCTTCCTAGTTCTATGTATTTTGTTTCCCTATATGCAGTCTTTAAAGGATTAAAACACTTAAAATTGAATGGACTTGTGTCAAGCTATTGCATCATACATTTTTTGAAAGATTTTCTAAAAAGTCTACAACTTACATGTGTAGTAGAATCAGCCATTGCTCTGCTCCTGGCATAGAGTCACCTGTTACGTGGATTAAATAGTTTTAAAATACATACTTTGAAGACCTTTGAGAATGCTTTAGTGTTTGGTTTGAAATAAAAGGAAATTTTAGCAAGAATTAAAGAAAAAAGCTATCAGCTATGTGTTAAGAGAGACTCTTACTAACATGTAAATATTACAATTCATGAAATGTTATTGTAAGTCTGTAACTTAATTTTTGCCCTTTTTTAGTTATACAGGTTGGTTTGGAAATTTGCGTTTTGGCATAAACAAGTAAAATGTGCCCATTTTATGATTTCCATGCTTTTGTAATCCTAAAAATATTAATGTCTAGTTGTTCTATATTATAACCACATTTGCGCTCTATGCAAGCCCTTGGAACAGAACATACTCATCTTCATGTAGGACCTATGAAAATTGTCTATTTTTATCTATATATTTAAAGTTTTCTAAAAATGATAAAAGGTTATTACGAATTTTGTTGTACAAAATCTGTACAAAAATCTGTTTTTACATCATAATGCAAGAATTGGAAATTTTTCTATGGTAGCCTAGTTATTTGAGCCTGGTTTCAATGTGAGAACCACGTTTACTGTTATTGTATTTAATTTTCTTTTTCTTTTCAACAATCTCCTAATAAAACTGTCTGAAATCTCCCTGTGACTTTATTTACAGTTCGCCTTTATTAAATTCTGTGAAATGCATAGCATTGAAGGAATATTTACTTTCTAATGGGAGGCATCTAAAAACAACATAAGTCAGCTCTTTGCAATGCAGGGGGAACAATGCTCAATGATTTTATTTAACATGCAACTGCTTCTATCTCTAATATGAATTACTGTGGTGAAAAACATCATAAAAGCACACTCTGTAGTTATTGTTTAACAAGCAGATTTTCCATATTTTGTTTCTTGCCAGCTAAGCAAACTGCCCACATATACATGATTTATTTATGTACATTTCTCAGTTTATGAAGCTGTTATTTGTACCTTTTTTCTTTATATTCTTATATTCCCATGATTCTTATTTCACAAAGCTTTGTGCTGAATAATGTAAAGTAGACATGTTGATGGAACAAAATATATTGTTCCCATATCTATGAGTAGAGATTTGTAACTCTCAGTGTTTTGCTTTTGATCTCTATCAATGGAAAAAATGCCTTTAGAAACTTTGAAATTAAAATATCCTTTAATAATATAGAAATATTTTAATCAATCAAAAGTGCAGCATTTGAAGAAATAGGTTGCTATCCCTGTGAATATTCTAAACATTCCCAAGAGAATAGAAAATGATTTTTTCTGTCTAAAGGGATGATTTTAATGAATTCTTGAAACAATATATTAACAAGTTACAATTTTTTCCTTAATAAAACCTAAAATGTTTATGCGACCATTGCAAGCACATTTTTGTCATCTATCATCATATGTTTATGTCAGTAAGACTAGCACTAGAAAATCATGCAGTCTCTGGATGTTAGTGGAACTCAGTGATAATTTAGGTTTGCCCCCATGTGTTTTCATTGAGACTAGCAAATTTATAATGTTCACAAAAGCTATTTATTACTAGGAGAGAGTATCTTATAAATATAAGTTATATGGACTGCATTTTTAAAATATGGGAAATAGAGATTTAATAGAATCAAAAAGCTGTTGTAAATTGCCTTGTAAAAATATCTTTTCCTCATGTGCAGGCTTGGTGGTAACATTTATCTTTACTATGTACGACTGATATATAAAAGCCGAGTGATCCTCATTTATCCATTTAAGCAGATTCATGAACAAAGCCTCCATTCTACATGAAGCATTGCACTAGATGTTGTAATGACTGAAGTTGAAAGCTTATAATTTTGTTGGAATAAGGAATCTTACTTTCAGGAAAATAAGATTCATTGAGTTTTTTTTTTTTTTTTTGCTCTGTAGTGGAATTAGAACTGGTATTAAAAGGGTATTGCCATAGACACCTTTCCACTAGATGGTAACAATCTAGTGACCCATTTTATACTTTAACCTTCTAAAGAACACAGATGATTTGGGAGTCAGGCAATTGAGTAGGAATTGAGAAAAAGGAAAGGTATATTTTCCCCTATGTAAAATATCCTACTAGTTTTTTTTTNTTTCATGTTTGCCCATTTATTTCAATCACACATTCTTACTAATGATCACAAATGTTATTTTAAGGTAAGCAGCCTGTTTAATTACAGACCAAAAGAAAGTTATCAACAAACAAAAGTTCCTGATATCTTTAGACTATTGAATACAGATATACAATATTTCATCTTTATCCTCCAGCATTGATGTATCTGTAGAGTAAGTAATGGCTTAAAATGATTCAAAGAACATTTTAGAACATGCTCTGATTCAAAGAACACAGAGCATAAGTCCCTAAATGCCAACTGAGTGATTTAGGTAATGAGTGACATTTGTAGTGGTATCATCATTTACATTTAGAGATGAATGAGCTGGAGATTTTGAGCTGAACAATTTGATCAGTTAGGACTCTTCCGGTGGGATATAATAAAAACAAACTTCTGCAAGACTAAAGAGCAAAGAAAATTGTTATAAAAACGAGAGAGGTACACATGGACCCCAAGACAAGAATGCAGTCAGACCCCCGGGACCAGGGACCAAGGACCTTCTTCTACCTTCACCTTTCTGCTCCTTTCAGTGACTCTGCTTCTTTCTCCTCTCATGCAGACACACTTGCTTCTCTTGTTCATCACTTGATTCTTATTATTCAACAACTTAAGACCCAGCTCACAGAAATGAACAAATCCTTCTCTCTGTCTTGTCCTAAGTCAGATTCCCTGAGGGTTCTGATTGCCTCGGGTCAGAGCACATGCCAGTAGGGTACCTTGGCAGTACATTAGATGAGTTTAGGGAATTTTCGAAATTATTGTATCTAATTAAATTTGAATCTCTCGGGTTGAGGCTAGGGCATCAGGATTTTTAAGTTCTTCAGGTGCTTCTAGCAAGCGGCTAAGTTTGCAGACCACTGTCTGGGAGGGTGGCAAATATCACATTATAGAAAACAATTAGTGCAGCTCCTGCTGTGGGGCAGAGAAATAGCTGGGGATGAGTAAGTGTGCAATGTGAGCTGCACACTCACACTACTAATGCCAACTACTAATTCTGTAAAATCAATTGAATATTTTTGAAAAGAAATTTTAACATTGTGAACTTAATTCTGAATTAAGTGTGAATTTGCAATAGGAGGAATGCAACGATTTTTTTCTAAATAAAATAATTGATAAATCTGACCCAGTGCCAACTGCTGCAGGTAAGTAAAAATCCATCTAAGTCATTATTGATGCACCTTGCCTATGAATTTCTTTAATATTTTCCTCAGTTCATCCAATTTGGGGAGAATCCTTGGTTTTGCACGCCTAGGATTAGCATCTGAGAAGCAACTCTAAACCCTTCTCAGAGTCTACCGGTTTGCGGAAGGAAAAGTTATGACATAGTCTGGTGTGAGTCTCAATGTAGTTAGGGTAAATATTAAAGACAATTATATTCATGGGGGAGTCTAAAGTTGGGTGAAACGAGGTAATGATTTATACATCGCTTACACTGGTAAAATCCCGGTAAATTCAAGTAAACTGTCGTAAATTCTGCAAATATAATGTAATGCTTACAGCAACCACTAAAAATGCTATATTATCATACACACTCAAAACTCTATAAATTAATCAAAATAGAATTCTATGCTATAGAATTCTATAGCATAGAGGTTAGCTGGCAGAGAAACAACAGTAAATATTTTTGGGAGTTGATCCAGAGTGCTAAACTACTTTGCTAGTAATCTCCAGTTCTCTCCCGGGGATTTAGGTTGCTCTTTCATTAATGCTACTTGTGTGACAAACTTTGTCTGCTACATTAGGCAACAGATGACCACAAGCTGGTTGATGCATTTCCATCACTGTGCATTACCTCAATTTTCTATTTATTGTGTGCACTCACTTTTGATAACATATTTCCAAATTCTATTTTAAAAACCAAGTAAGGACTTAAATGTTAACTATTTGCTATTAAGTGTTATTAATTTTAAAAATTGCATTTTTGACTTCTACCATGAGTGTGGGAGCTGGGATAAGACTGTCAATGCTTTTCTTACTAACACACTTTGTGGAATTTATTTTAAAAAAAAAAAGGCTCGGGGGAATCATGTTGAGTTGGATTTTTCAGCTAAATTCCTCTGGTTATCATGTGCCTAGGGTCATGTATGCTGAATGGTTTACGGCACTTTTCATTAGTATATTTTGATGCTTTTTAATGTATGTTTTACCTGTGTTCCCGCCCCCGCCCCATATATGTCTACAGAAAGACAATAGGTACATATCAGAACCAAAATAATAGTGGTCAAGAGATCCTGGGAAATGAAAGTCCCTGCAGTATAGAACAAGCCAGGGCCAGACCAGAGAAAATTATTGATGAACAAATGGGTACATGATCTAACAGCACAATGTATTTTTAGGGGAGAAAGATGCAGAGAAAATTATTTTTTTCTCTCTCTCTCTGAGACAGGGTCTCATTCTGTCTTCTAGGCTGGAGTGCAGTGGTGCCATCACTACACACTGTGGCCTTGACCTCCCTAGGTCAGGTGATCCTCCTGCCTCAGCCTCCAGAATAGCTGGGACTACAGGTCCACATCACCATGCCCAGCTCATTTTTGTATTTTTTGTGAGAAAGCGTTTCACTATGTTGCCCAGAATGGTCTGAAACTTCTAGGCTCAAGAGATCTGCCTGCCTCAGCCTCCCAGAGCATTGGGATTACAAGTGTGAGTCACTGCACTCAGCTGAAAATTCTTAATTGACGAACAGAAATGATAGTTTAACATTTAGATTTTATAGGTATTAGAAGCCACTGTGATTTGGAGGACAGCCCCCATTCCTGGAATCTTTCACCTGCAGTTGACTTGATGAAGCCAGATGCACTTCCATTTTGATGGGTCACCTAGCACTCTTCTTTTTTCTGCTGAGCATTCACTATTAGGCCTAGCTATCTTCTGTTCATTCTTGAATTTGTGCCACATGCCTCCACAGTAAATACTCCAGCATTATTACTTTGACAGACACTGGGAATGTTGAAGCCTTCCCCATAATGCAGAAAATGCTCTGACTACAGTTGTCAGAGCAGCAAACCATACACATATTCCTACACTGAAAATTTAAGCATTAAATAGACACTGGTTCTCTGTGTCCATCAACCTCTAGGGGACAAATTGGGTTCTTTAAGTGGTGCCACTGAGATCTCTTCTCTAGACTTTAGATGAAAGATAGTTATTTGTCTTATCCTCTAGATGTTTGAAGGTACTTGAACCCAAAGAGACCCTCAGCTCTCATCAACAATCATCTTACTACCTCTGATTATCCTACATCTTAAACTTGTTTTAAAATCTGGAGGGGGTAGAAAATAAAGGACACAATTATTAGTTTCTAAATATTATTTGCAAATACTGATGATGATCTTGCATCTTGCCATGAGATGTGATATCAATTTTATTTGTTCATTAAAATTGTTTTAATGTTTTGAGATCATTCTATATTATAGGCAGTTATAAGAAATAACACAGAGACATCCCATGAACGCTTCACTCATTGTCCCTCCAAGTGAAACTTTCGCGTAAATATAGTACAGTATCACAATTGGGACAATCACATTGATAT